AATATTGTTTTTTTCATGGAGCAGTTGTAAATGATTATGGGAGCTCTTCTCAGCGCATTAGGGTTTGAAGATTGAATATTATGTGCCAATGAAACCGTACCGCGTCCTCATTTTCGGCTGATAAAGAGTATTTCTGTGGCACCTTACTTCACACATCTTTAGGAAGGGAGCAATGATTTCTATTATTTTGTCAACCTTTTCCCTTTGCCTTGATCTCCACTGGAAGTGAAAGCGCATTGAAGGGGAAGGATGAAGTGCAGATGAGTGCTACCCTCCTTTTGTGTGGAGAATTTTGCCAATCTGAAAAGATACAATAAACTGCCATCAAGGAGTTCAAGTTCGCTGTCAAAATTTCCATTCGGTTGCCATTTTATTAGTCGTAGTCAGACCTTCACTCGCATCTCCACTCCTCAGTTAAATGTCATTGTTGAATTTGCACATCTTCAAATCATTGTTTGGGTTATTACAAAGGACTCTGGGAATCTATTTAGCCAGCGAGCAGTGGCATTGGAATTCAGCCGAGGACAATGTTGTGCTCTGGTCGGCTACAGCAGCAATACAGAAATGATTTGGTGGAGATTGCCCGCATATACTCATTTCATTACATTCATTTCCTTTTCAAACAGCAACAAATGCAAAAGCCACGGATGTTAGTGCTTCAGTGCTGTAAAAATGGCTATTGACAGTCCTTAAGTTCATTCTGCAGCTCTGCCCCATTGTCCTGCCACTGTCCAGGAAGGAGTTACTGTGAGTCTATTCAGTGCAAGTGACGTTTTGTTTTTTTTTTTCTGTATCAATGCAAGAGAGTCATTGTTTCAATTATACCCATGTAATTACATCTATAAATTGTAATGTGTTTGCGCGTGGAGGAGGGGGACGGTTGGCGCATGTGTTGCTGATATGCCTCGTTATGTGAGCGGAAAACTATTAAAGGGAAAAGAGAAAAAAAAAAAAAAAAAGATGGGAAAACTGAAATTATGTGTCCATGTAATCAGCCCGGTGACAAGCTGGCAGCAGCTCTGATGTGCACGCTGACAGCAGCGGTCTGATAGGATGCTCTGTCACTGAACACCAGCAGCAATTAGTCATTCCAGTACAGAAGATGGGAAAGGTGCGACTGTAAAGCATGTGGTACTGGGAGTTCAGCGGAGCAGATTTCAACACGGCGCAGACACAGGCATTAGTTGCAAATCCTCTTTATTCCCCCATAAATCCCCACGGCTGTGCACATCCTGTCAGGACGCCGGTGTGGGCATGTCAGCACTCCCCGATCGAGCCGCGAGCAGAGCTGTGCTGGCGGTATGGACACCAGCCACATTACAGACATAATCAAATTCTACTTAATTCAAGTGAGGGGCCACAAAGGCTGCTGTAATAATACTGTCTGTCATTTGGAGGCTTTTTTTTTTTTTTTTTTTTTCCTACTCCAAGAACCTTGTGGTATTATAAATGCATATATATTGAGCGTGGACGGCCGCAGGGATTCACACTCTTGATCCTGGATGTGTTCGAGCGCCGGATGACAAACTAATCCACGCAGGAAAAAGAGACGAATGGTAGTAATGACAATACAACACTTTATAAAGAAAGTCTGTTCCAGTTGAGACACGGATCAGCATTTTCCAGAGATGGAAACTGCCTTTTCACTCTGACAAAACACCATGAACACAAGGAGGTGTTGATTCAACTGAACCTGCTGCTGTTGTTGTTGCTGTGATGGTGTCTTATGATGTTTCTGCTATTTTGTCCACCTTGTGACCAAAATAACATCTTACAGGAACATAAACGGAACACCTGAGCAATTTATGACTGCACTTCCACACAGTTGGGGGTGGGGGGGGACTCAGGTGACAGATTTAGGGTCGGCCGTAGCTCAGTGTGTGGAGCGTGTTTTCTAATAATCGCAGGTTTATACAATCCGATTCGATTCCTCGTGTCCACATGTGAAAGTGTCAGACTCAAATGGCTCGGCATGTGTATGTGTGGGTGTTTGGACGCGTGAATAAAATGTGTAAAAGCACTTTGAATACATTTAATATAACAATGCAGCCTATTTACCATTAAAAAAGGGGTATTTTTCACAAAATATTTCATCAAGATCCACGTTCACTGGTTTGTTTTCTGAAGCTTTAAGCCACTTGTTGGGAGAGGGGGTCTTCCTCAGACTTTAGTCAGGATACCTGAAGCCACAGGTGTAAAGACACAAATTTAATTTCCAAAAGGCAGCTACGGTATAAATATTTCCTTTTAGCCCAGAAGGTGTTCAATCCTTTTTTTAATTAAGATTTTTTTAGCAAGTACGTGTCAATTTTTGCTTGATTTCACCATTTCTAATCGATTAATCCAACAACTGACTGTTGGTTTCACTGCATGTTGCATTAATCAAATCATTGTTATTTGGTATTATTGTAGAGTAGGTCAGTGTGATTGTGAAACAGGTATGCAACTGTACTAGTTAATGTTATAAACAGTCTTTTAGTTGCTATCATGACCTATATCACCTTTTTCTGCTGCACCAAAATGATTCAGTTTTGCTTTTTAGTCCCCAAATCCTACATTTCCCATAATGCAACCATCTTTTCATGAGAATCTCCCTGTCTGCATAATATTCACATCTAAAACTATGACTGTGTTCTCGTAACTACTGACCTTTTATGTCTGAAATGGTCTCACAAATTGAAGATCTCCACGTTGCATTGCATTATATCACATCTCCAAACAGGCAGAGTGAACGAAGATGCACAACAGAACGCACGCCGGCAATATTTATCGCGTGTATATTGAATTTGAGCCCATGTTTTTTGCAGCCCTCCTCTGAAGTAAATACAGAAGTGATAAACAGCAAAGCGGTGTTCGGTAGTGTCGCGTTCAGTAGGCAACACGAAATGCAACCGACCATAACAGTTGATACTGCGGGTGTTATGGGATTTTTAAGTTTTTCTCTCTGACATTTTTGTGATAGAGTCTTGGTGCTTACTCCGGGCGAATTTTTCTACCTGTTAAATAAAAAACTCTCCCTCGGCGAGCAGAGGCGGCCGAGACCCTGCATGTTTCCTTGCGGATGTGTCAAACGGAAGACAGCAGGGGAGCAAGGTGAGGGCAGGGAGGTGTTGGGGTGTGGAAGTGGAGGGAGGAGGAGAGGAGACAGGGGCTGTGCACAGGCCATTTAGTGGGTGCATGTTCATTAGCATGGAGCATGGGCCGTTCCCTCTCCTCGGGGAATGAGCTGTGCTATCTGACATCCCTGATACAGTAAACAAACTGCTCCTTGCACATCCCTGCTTCACACACGCCGACGCGCAGCAGCTCGCTCCGTGAAGGCCGAGTCCATTTTAAGAGGGCGCTCAACTGAAACAAAACTTTTCTCTCATTAATTAGTTTCATTGTAGCCCCCACTTCCAAAGATGTCCCCGTGCCAAACGAACGCAACTCGAGCAAGGTGTTGTTTTGTTTTTTTTGTTTGGGGTTGAGATGTGACCGGCGTCGCTTGTCTCGGACCCCCTCAACTCGACTTATTACGCCCTCGCAGCGTTGAGAAATTCTGCACTCTCCGCTCGTCTTTTATCAAAATCATTCAAGTTCAGAGCATGACTAGTGAGATTGATGGAAAATTGAGCTGCTCTCTCATGCAGCAAAGAACAGTGCAGCCATTCCCTCACCCGCCACTCCTCCATCAGTCCAAATGTGCACAGATATAGACTATTGATAAATGCCTCTGAACTATTCTGAGACTGGAAATTTAAAGGCTTCAAATTTTTTTGCCTTGTTCTTCTGTGGTGCACGGATAAATCTGGCTAAGTGCTAGACAGCGATACTCTCTGACACCTGAGGCAGCCACGTATTTCTCTGCATGGGGACACCGGGCGCCAATTTATCTCCAGACTTGTGTCTATTTCTGATGATTGAGCTCTATAACTTCCAGAAATGGCCTCTTAAATCAGAGTGTATTTTACAGTGTGTGAACTCTCGCTGAAATTGCAGACGGTGTCTACTGTTTCATGGTGAAATAACTGTCTTAAAACATTTTTCAACATCGCTCACTCAAGGGGCGCGGGCAGCCATTTCAGCGATAGAAGCCCTGCAAACGTTCGTGTAACGAGCTGGGTTCGACAGTATAACACCGCAAATGTGTGCTTTATTACTCGGAGAGACGTCTGGCTTCATTTAGACATGTTCAGGCAGTTGATAATGTTTTCTTTTTTTTTATTATTTATTAAAGGAACGTGTTTTGGCAAATATGCATGTTCACGTCTTGCTAAGGGATAGATGAGAAGATCGATACGACTCTCACGTCTGTATAAACATGAAGCAGCTAGTTAGCTTAGCATAAAACAAGAAAGTCACTGTGGCAGGCAAAGAAACAGTCTCACACACTGGCTGTAATATTTACCTTAAAATCGCAAGAGTGGTATTGATTTTCTCATATAACGCTCTGCAGTAAAGCAAATAAACCTGCTCCTTAAAAAAATAAAGTTAAATGTGTCACTTATTTTTGGTGAATTTGAATTAAGTGTAAATTTGAATGGTGTCACAGCCAGTGGAATGCACATTAAGGTGGGAGGAAGAATGAAAAATCCCAGTGAGTAAAAGCTCATTCTGGTTATTATCAGGCTCAATTATTGGCAGTTGTCTGCAGGATTTGTCAGTAAGCGCTAAATAGTTTATTGCCAATTTGTGAGATGTATAGTCGCATACTGTGAATCACACACCATCCTTCATGGACCAGCTTGTGCTGGGGTATCATCTCATTTTTTATTGGTAAACAACAGAAGCTCGCATTTCCTTCTCAGCAGCTTTTTTGAAGTGTTTCCACTCTGTGGTTAGGTCATGCTAAAATGCTCTGAGACAAAACAAACCAATTTAGTTTATTTTGGCAGCCTAATGATTTAATGGTCATAGCTTCCAGTGCAGTCCACATCTGTGTGAAGGTATTAGTTTTGCTCCTGGCTGAGAGGGTTTGCTGTTCATGAAATTATTTACGGTTATTGTCCTGTTTTTAGACTCCAGAGCCGGCGAGGGGGCACCGCAGAAAATTGACCATGCTGTCATCGGAGGAGTGGTTGCCGTGGTGATGTTTGCCATCCTCTGTGCACTCATTGTTCTTGGTCGATACTTTGCCAGACACAAAGGTAAAGCACCGGCAGTGCAATCATACTTGATCATGAACACATCTTGGAGTTCAAGTGTTTTTTGTTGCGAGTGGAGTGCAATAGGATTGAAGTGCACACGAGGATGAGGAGGCGTGTGGCTAATTTGTCTGCACTCTTTCGCAGGAACTTACTTCACACACGAAGCCAAAGGGGCGGACGACGCTGCCGACGCCGACACGGCCATCATCAACGCCGAGGGGGGACACAACAACACAGACGAGAAGAAGGAGTATTATATCTAAACTGGACAGGCCAGGAGAGACGGGTGGGGATGCTGATGGTGGTGGTGGTGGCAGCGCTGTGGGAGCATTATGTCTAACTCTGATTGGGCAGGGAGATTGAAAGAGGCAGAGAAGAGAAGGAAAAAGTGGAAAGTAAGACTGGCGTGGCCAAGTAGTATGAAGAGGCGTTGCTGAGTCTCCTATCCGACCCTTCCTGGACTGCTGGGGCCTATTCTGTACAGTTCAATTATTTTACAGACAATTTTGTGCCTTGTTCTATTTCTTTTGTTTGTTTTGTTGTTTTCCCTTCACATGCTTGTTGGATTGGATTTATTTTATTTTTATTTTTATCCTATGTACACCACCAGATTCTTTGTTGCATTTGGCTTTCGGAGGAGATTAAATGGGTCTGGTGTTTTGTCTATGTGTGCTGCAGCTAGCTTTTAGCTCATGTACCCAGATCTGAGGAGCCAGCTCATCCGCACCTTTTTTTTTAATTTTATTTTTGAGTAATCTACAGAGTTCGGTAGCTGGAACACAATATCAACACGTTTTCTCCCCACAGGGTCGCCCAGCTCCTTCGAGGTCAGGTTCACTGTGTTGATTACTTATGTAACAGTTGTGAGTAATTATTCTTCATAGAATGTATTTGTTCATGAAAGTGAAGTAGGAGTGCCGTCACGTATCATTTCAAACCCAACAGCGAGGGCGGCCGATTGCCTCGGTTGCTTCAAGATCTGACAATTAGTAGATGTGAGATCAGTTTAGTATTTGTGTAGGCTATTGTGGTGCGCAGTCTAAAACATCTTGACAGCTGTCATGTGCCATGGAGTTAAAATTTCTAGAGAAAAAAAAGAAATCTGAGCTTATAATTTTTTTTTTTTTTTAAGGCCTGCATCAGGATTTTCTGACTGAGAGAAATGAAAGCAGATTGCATAGAGAGGACTTTGGTGATGATGATGATGCCACTGTCATGCCTGTTTGATAAATATGAAGCTACAGCCAGCAGCCGGTTAACTTAGCTTAGCATAAAGACTAAAAATGGACACTCAGCTAGCCTGAGCTTCACTGGCGCTTCTTATCTTTGGACAGAATCAGCCGAGCTGTTTCCCCTCGTCTAATAAGTACAGGTCCAGAAGACTGGCATTAAGTTGATTGTGGGGGTCAGACTTTACTCTCACTTGTATGCCCCCCCAAAAAAAGTGATTGGTCCTGCTGCGTTGATGGTTAAAATCTCATTAAAATGTGTTATTTGTTCGCTATCAGTACAGCTTGCTGCGTGTGCTTTTGGTTCAAACATGAAAGCTTTCACATTTTCATAGCACCTACATGGTCAACCCTGGACCAAATATAATAATTATGCCAGTGTGTGTATATATACAGTAAATATTACTTGTGTACAGCAAAGGCTCAAAGTCCACATTGCAGAAGACCTCCTCTCTAAATAATTGACTTTTTATCTGATAGTACAGTATATTGACCATTTAACCGGGAAATGTTACAAGGACTTCACTTTATTCATCTTTCAAGGTTTTATCTTTTCATTTGGTTGTGCTGTGTCAAAGGGAGGAAAGACAGAATGTTACACTTTCAAAGTTTCCTTTCAGTGATGTATAAGGTATCAAGGCAAGTCTGTGTGAATACCCATAGCAAGTAGAAAAAAAAAAAAAAAGAATTCACAGCTTATTTCCTGCCTTAGAAATCCTTGCTACACAGACTTTTTTGCCCTTGCCCATACACAAGTTTAAAAAAAATTAAAATTATTAAAAATGAAAAAAAGAGGAAGGAGGAAAAAAAAAGCGTTCAATCACTGCAAACATGAATCAGTTATATTTCCTTGCCGTCTGTAAAAGACATTTTACCTTTGGGCTGTCTTTGATAACTTGTAAGGGGCTCTTGGCTGTACAAGTTATCAAAGATTTGCGTATAGCTTTAGACTCGGTTTGGGGAAGATCATTTTCTTACTGTCATCCTGCAGCCTCAAACCTTCACAGAGGAGCTGTCTGCTGTTACAAATTTCTCTCTTTTTGTACACAAACACAAGTCAGCAGTGTGCAACACCATGCATGCTTCATGCCTCTGACTCTGTCACAGCTAGAGGAGTTGAAAAAAAAAAAAAAAAAAACCTGTTTGGTAATTAGCGAGTGATCTCATTGTATTGCCTGAATAAGAAGAGAAAAAAAAAAATCTGTAAATGTATTATGATAAAGGATAACCACTGCCTTAAACCCACCTCTTGATACTTATCATTATAAAGGAAAAGACTGAAGGACTTAATTTAGTGCCTTCTTCTTCTGATTTTGAGGCATATGGTTAGTATCGTACAGTATCCTCATGTACACTCTTACAGTATATCTTGTATATATCCGTCCTTTCTAACTTACAGGGCCAATACTCATCCAAGTTGTCTGTGTTCTTGCACCATAGACTCGCATCACAATTACAACCTACAGCGTTCAAAAAAAGCTGATTCAAATGTTTTATAAAAAAAAACAAAGGTATTTCTTTATTTATCGGGGGTGGTGTGGCAGCTTCCACTGACTAGAATGTCGTATGCCAGGATGAAATACTTTTTTGTCTTAATTAACAATCACAAAAAAAAAAATATATCAATTTGATCATTTTCTCAGTTTCACTTCATTTGTTATTTATTTGGATCTTTTCAAGGACAAGGCTCACTAGTATTATCAGAGAGGAATACAGTACTAAAAGCTCTAATAAGCTACGATAAAAGTGATTTTTTTTTTTTTGTTCTGGATTGTAGGGTTTCACTGTCATGGAAACAGTTATGTGCATGACAAATTTTATTCCTGGGGTTTGATATTTATCTTAAACGGTGACTGCTGCTGCTTTTAATGGAGGAGCATTAAAAGAAGCGTCATACGAATCCAATTTTTTATTTTTATTTCTTTTGAAATACTTGATATTTAGTATGTTTGTTTTCACTCTCTCAGGTTCATGAGTGTTAATAGTTGTGTTTTTTTTCTTTTTGCATCTCAGGTAGAATGCAAATCTAAGGCCCCAAGTATATACTGTAGTACCACAGCTATTCGAGAAGTAAAGAAATCACAAGGTGTACATGTTTTTCTCAGTTGTACATGTTTATGTGTTCTTAAATATGGTGCACTGTTACGGTAAACGTTAAATATTATTTTGCATAGACCTAGTTCACAAAGAAAGAAAAACTAGATTTGTTAAGCAGACGAAAAACGATGTACAGTCAGTGTCAACAAAATCACAATGATGTTCATGAAACTTCTTCTTCTTCTTCTTCTTCTTCTTCTTCTTCCTCCACTGTAACACTTTACTCATACAGTATCGGTTATTTAGTAATTATAGGATGTGACCACAGACAGTCAATCAAGCATCTGTTTGCATTCAGTCGCCTCATGCATAACTTTTCATAGCTGAAGATGGTGTATTTACTGTGACATGAAGTTTTATGAATGACCTGTAACGTCTTGGATATTTGGATGAAAACTCATGTTTAAAAAGCCTGGGGAGGGAGGGAGGGGAGGTGGGGATGGGTTTGTTGTTTTATAACCTCCTCCCCAAAAAAAAAAAAAAAAATTGTTGGGTTTTTTTTGGTTGTTGAATCTTAAATTTCCCAGGTGACTTTTTTTTTTTTCTTTTTTTTTTTTTCTTTCTTTTGTGTAGTGAAGAGGATGTTTCTCATATGACCATGCATATTTTGTATTGGTTCACACCAACATTTTTACAAAAGAAAAAAAAAAATCTGAAGAGTACTTGTCTTAATAAAAAGATATCAATGTTTAAAGTGGTGTGCTGCTGTGACTTGGTATAAAAAAAAAACAAAACGTGTCTTCACTTTGTAGCCCGGAGACGGAGCAGAATTTATTAACTTGTATTTGTTGTCAAAATTCACTCCTCTGCCTGTTTAACGCGCTGAATGCATTAGCCGGATTGAACTTGCTCGCTTCATCCCGAAGCAGCTGATACTTGTCAAACTCCCGGAGAAGAAAGATCTCGAGTTGAGGCAAAAATACTGTACCGATGTAGATCCGATGTGGGTGAGCAGCAGCAGCAGCAGCAGCAGCAGCACAATCTGAGCTCCCCATCAGTGACTGACATATGCGCTGCTGTACAGATAGAGGCGAGAAATGTTTTAAATGACACAATGACTGACACCGACAGGCTCCGGGGCCCCTGTTAAGGTTTTCCAGCTGAACATGTGGATGTTAGTGATTTGACAAATTGATAGGCATTTTGAGGAACAAGACCTAATTCATAACTATAACCTATTCTGTCATCATAATTCTGTCAGTGCCACCATTTCCCATTACTTTAAGTGATCCATCCCAGGTAAAGGTCAATAACATTATTCAAACTTTAATGGGAATAGTTTAACCTCAGAAACCAGCCACTTTTCTCCTTTACTCATGCAATCATTGAAATATAATGCTTCTCTCAAGGAACATTAAATAGCTGTGTATTGATTTTTTTTTTTTCCCTTTGTGCAGATTATGAAAATTTCATGGGATTTATTAATGTTTCAGCTCTCAAAGTTCAGCCGTCTGAATTAAAACGCTGTGGATTCGCTGTTTTGTCTGCAGCAGCTGTCAGCGCAGCCGCGAACGCATGAATATAGAAGGATGATGTTTCAGTTAGATGCTACTAATTCCATTTAAATGTTCAATTTTAATTTACAATGACATGTTTAAGTGTAATGAGCACAATGGGAAAATTGAGAGTGAACGAATGTCTGAGCATGGCTTGTTTAGTTGGCTAATTGATTGATTGAGATTGATGGCATGTAGCACTTGGCTTGGCTGAGGTATAATTAAATGATGTGGGATTAAATAGTGGGTGAACAAAGGCAAACGCAACAGGCTCTATCTGCACACTTATCTCCCTTCTCTGTCACTGCTGTTTAGCACAAATACTCAAGGACTCGGGATTTTTTTTATTTTTTTGAAACTTATTTATTGTCTGATTCGGTTATTAACGAGAGGACAAATCCCTTCAGTGTGCCTCTTTTTAAATTACATTTTTTACTCCTTGGAGTGAACAGCTCAAGGGCTTTTTGTGCCGCATCTTATTCTTGAGTTTCAGTTTGTGAAATTGTGGCCTTGAATGCTGCATAGCTTACAAAACAAAAATGTCTGTATCAAATTAGGTAATACGCTGCGAAGTACGTTTATTGGGGCGTCACAATGTTGTGTTTTTATCAGATTTTTTTCCGTCGCTGCTGCGTTTTTAAATGAAATAATCGTCGTTAAATAATTCTGTCAAACAGCAGCTAAATCCCACGAGTCAGAGTCTGCTGTGGTTGTTTCCTTGAAGATTACTCAAACAGCAACGAGGGGAAATGTGAGATTTATGCAGAGCACTTGAAATTATGTAGAGCAGCGGTTCATCTTTTCTTTATCCTCTTCAGATGAGCACAGATTGTGATTTTAAACGTTATTGATTACATAAAAGTTGATATTTTTACTCTTAATTTTTCATACAGCTCAATTCAAACTTCCACCACTTGCTTGACATTTAAGTTAATTTTATATCATTTAACCATCACCATTTGTTGAATATTTCAGCTGTTATTCCACTTTCAGTCAACTGTTCACGCGTTGCTTGTTATCTGTCCAATGCAATCGTTCATTTATTACATTTGGTGAAGTGTTTACACTGCTCTGCTAACTATCTAACAAGTTCACTGGCTGTCAGGGCAGCTGCAGTGTTTATGTGTCACAGCTGACCTGGCTGAGGTCTGATTAAATGATGTGGGATTGAACAGCGGGTTGAACAAAGGCGAAAGCAACAGGGCCGGCTCAATATGTGCACATTTTGTCTTCTTTTAATTGTAATTTCTGTTTTTTAATTTAAAGTGGCTGAGACACAATCTTCACAATTCCCCCACGGCAAACTGAAGAAATAACCCCTGGGGTAAAAGAAAGTTGAAATTACTGCTGTAGAATGAGAATGACTTTTAAAGACTTCAGGTTTATTTCCTTAATCAGAGTTTTTCCTCAGCCACAATGAGTCTTTGGTGGCAGGACAGTAAGCATGATTGGTACAGAAAAGGTAATAAGTCTTTAACCTGATTTGACAGAAAACTATGCATTTTCCCTTTTTTCCTGCGAATCTGATGCACAGAAATATCTATTATGCTTGAGTGAATGTAACTCCAATTAGTTCAACTGGCTAAAACATTTTTTTTTTTCAATTCTTATTATTTCAGTGCTGGCCAAAAATCCGCCCATGCTGGATGAACTCTGCTAATGAATATGCTCAACGACTGCAAACACAGATGATGTTATAGTTTAGAGTCTGCCTTAATGCTACAATACTGTCCACAAAATAATAACGAACTATATTTCTACTACATTGGAGGTTTTTTTTCTGTTCTTTATCGACCGCATACTTTTTTTATTCATCCATCCATCCATTCATCATCTATACACCTCTTAATCCTCACTAGGGTCGTGGGGGGCTGGAGTCTATCCCAGCCGACTTAAAGTGAAGGCAGGGGACACCCTGGACAGGTCACCAGTCTATCACAGGGCTACACTTAGAGACAGACAACCAAGCACACTCACATTCACACCTACGGACAATTTAGAATCACCAATTAACCTCAACATGTTTCTGGACTGTGTGGGAGGAAGCCGGAGAACCCGGAGAGAACCCACGCTACATAGGGAGATTCCGGTGCCCCCACCGGGTCATCAACCGACGACCTTCTTGCTGCGAGGCAACAGTGCTACCAACTGCGTCACCTTGCAGCCCATTTTTCCCATCCAGGACGTCATATATTAATA